TGGGGGGGGGGGGGGGGATTTCCTAAGGGAACAAACTTGAATTAGGATCCTACTGATGGCTATAGAGGTTTTTTGTCTGGGCTAGAAGTAGTATGTTCATCCTGCTTGTCCACGAGGGGGAAACAAAACTTCCATTCTCACTGTGAGGTCTGTCTCAATGGCTTTAGGATTGAAATATGGAGCAACAGCTAAAACCCTCTATCAGCCATATTTAGAAAATCAAAGCAAAGTTTCATGAACACCTCAGTCAACAGTTGCCTTTAGAAGCAAAAGTAACTCATGGTTTAGGTGCTACAGGACTATAGAAGGATAGTCATAGATATCTTTCAGCTCCCCACAAGGATGGCTGAGGAAGAGAACCAATCATGGCAAACCACTGGAAGATGTCTTATGACGGGGTAAGAACCTTGTAACCTCCTGAAGACTGGGGAGGCAATACAGCTCCAGAAGAGGTTACATGAAGGGGCAAGTTATGGTATGTCACTAGGCAGCCATGTCAGAAAAGGGGAGAAGGAATGAGTCACTAACTGGGGAAAGGTAACCTTGGAAGCCATATTTTGCAACCAATATTTGAGTCATCCAAATGACATATAACTCAGCTATGCTGAAAATTACTGCTAAAATTGTGCATTCCTAACAATCCACAGGATGTTTGGTAGATGGCACCCTATGAAAAGATATATTGGGAAGAGAACCTTTAATTATGTAAACATGAATGGAAACAAAGATTAATTAATTCATTTATGATGTTTAGGGATAATGTAGACTTTAGATCTTGTTAATAAGGATGCCAGCGAGCCAACAAATCAAACTGCTAAGTACAACAATAAAAAAGGCAAGAGACAGATAATCCAGTCTGAAATAAGAAACTCTCCTTCCTGTCCACAATCATGAAATGGGGCCAATACAATAGATTACCTTAAAAACAGAGAGACTTTATTTTAAGAATTGCTCTTGTTGATAAAAAGCAAATCAAAATTATTTAAAAGATTATTGGAAGACTTTCTTATTTCTGTGTGTGCATTTAGATATAGTGTTTCTGATGTTCCTTTTGTTTAGTGGAAACTGTTTGTAAAACCTTGGTTGTTGCAGGTTATAGTGAACTCTTGGTTATTTGAACAGTCATATAATTGAGATGAAGGATCTACTGAGGTCTTGTGAAATACTGTAGATACTGTTGGCAAACCATTCTAAAGCTTTGATCTCACTAAATAGCATAAGACAAAAAATATCATCCAGGAGGCAACTATAACTATTCCTTCTGCTGTTTCCTCCATTCCACTGCTGCACGTAAGGCCTGAACAATCAAGTTTTCATTATTCAGGATATTGTAGTCAGTTAGTTTCACCAGACTGTCAAAACTCTCCTCACTGAATGAGACCTCCCTCGTACGGAAAGTGGAGACATCAATTTTGCACTCTTCCATCTCTGTGGGAGTACGTTCCACACCTACAGCGAAAAAAAGTGCAGTAAGTTTCACCAGAAAGATATTACAGTAGTCTGGGGCTTTCATCAATCAATTAGGCAATGATAGCCCAAAAAGGCAGACTTTTCTCTAGTGAGATAGTGTTAATTGCCATAGGGATGTACAAGTATCTCTAGCAAAATCTAATTCTTCAGTCTCCAGAACCTGCAAAAACAAGGTGTCTGGTACAGTCACAAGGTAGAAGAACATTAATCACTTAACAGAAGTGTTATTTTGTATACCAGGCCTTGGGCTAACATCATGCATCTATTTCTCAAGCCAAAAAAGGAAGATGCCTTAATGGCAAGTAAAAAAATGAGTACTGAGAAAGGGAGGAATTAAGAAAAGTGGCAGGTCCCAAATTTACTGTAATAGATCAAATAATGGCTAGTTACCAAAAGCTCAATCATACGGAAAGCAGAAATGATCAGCCATCTGTGAGGAAGCAGTTTACATTGCAATCAAAGCTCTCCAATTCCTCAAAAGCCAAATCTGTGATGCTGACCTTTTAATGCGTGAACAAAGAGGGGCACAACAAATGAATAACTGTATGATGAAGCTAGTAATGATTCTGAGCCCTTTGCTTTAGCAATAAAATATTTCTCACATCCTCCATTTAAGATGTTTGCATTTTTAATTGCAGTAATTTACATATGCAGATCAAAAGATTATAGGACATTTTGGAGACAGAAGTAAATGTCTCATCTTGAATGGGCCCTTTGCTCTATAATAGCTAAGCGGTATTGACGTAGAGGGAAAATGATACCTTTTATCAATGAAGAGGGTTATTTTATTAAAAAGGGAAGGAGGATATGAGAGAGAGCCAGCAGATGTGAAGCAGACAGGGCAAGCTGGTCAAGATGCATTTTTAGTAAAGTTACTAACTGCTGATAACTTACCAGGAGCTTTGTAGTTTTTGTAGGTGTCATTTACTAATGGGAAAAAAAGGACTATGGGGGCTCTTGGATTCTCAGCATCTTCAAACACATAGCACTCCTTTAGGGTTTTTTTGTCTTCCTCAGTCATCCTGATTTTAGGGAATGGGATTCCTTGCTCTGTTGTATATTTCCCCACCTGCTCCAAAGGCTGAATCATCACAGAACAAAAAATCAAAACTCAAAGAAGAGGGAAAAATAATCATCACAAAATTAATGCTAAATATCTAGGGTTTTGCAGTGGGTTTGCTATAGGAACACATGAAGTTTTAGTCATCAGTGATATAATTTCTGGATTCATGGCCAAGAGATGGCTTCTTCATGAAGACACTGTGATACAAGATGGCTGCAGCTTAGCAGTCCCTGCCTGGAAGCAGGAGGAGCCACAGTACCATGTTAACCCTTTTCACAGCTGCTCTCAAATGAGCACCAGCTTTTGGCAAGTTTTATCCCATAACATGGGTATAGGAGATCTGTTGTACTGTGGTGGGTTGCAGTAGTATACATTGCAGATACAGCTGAAAAGTATGGGTGCCTGTCCATGAGCGCAGAGGCTGCTCCAACCTGCTGTAATTACAGCACGTCAGAGCAAACTCAATTAATTGAACAAGCTTTAGTTCAAGTGCCCCCACCATCATTTTCGAGCATGGGGATGCTGATACATGAGATGCTACAGCACTTTAATTAGATCAGCTTTTGGAGCTACTCTAGTTAAAGCACTCCCCTCCTCCCCCCACCAGAGCACATGTAAAAGTGCCCTATAGTATTAATTTTAAAATACTAGTAAGAGAATGCCACAAGCAGATTTTCAGAGAAGGCAAGAGAGAGAAAAGCAGGAAGTATCTATATAAGGTATTTATCTGGCATCCATCAGTGTAGAGCACCTCAAAGTCTTCACTTTATTTGTCTTCATAAGACCCCTGTGGTAGAGGTCAATGCTGTTATACCCATTTTCATAGAAGGGGAATGGAGGCACAGGCTGTTTAAATTATTTCCCAAACATCACATAGGAAGTATGTGGTAGAGCAGGGACCTTAACTAGGTCTCTGAAGTCCTGGGCTAGAGCCTTAAATCACTAGATAATTCATCATCAGCATTACTTATAACACACCAAATTGATTACTAAGAGACTTCATAGAAAGTTGAATCCAAAGGTAATGAATTATCCCATACGCCACAGAACCCCATGCAATCAAACCACAAATAATTTAATCAACAAAGAAGGCATAGCTAAGAAAGTACTTATGTTGTGCTGTAGTGCTCATGTTGAATCCTGTAGCTACTAGAACTGGCCAAAAAGGGTTTCCCATAAGCAACCCTGAACATAAAATATATTCTGTCTTCCTATACTAAGCTTCAAATTGATTCAACACAAAAATTTTGTTTTGAACTGACATTTCAAAATGTTTTCAGTTACATTTAAAATGTTAGCTCTCTCATGTCTAAAATACAAAAGACAGACATTATTTTGGACTTAATCCAAAATCATTTTGAACTGACATTTTGATATAAAATTCTGTTTTTATAGGTTAAATCAAAAAGCAAAAGTAATATATGTTGAAATGAAATATTAAATGGTGTTACATTTCAAAATATTTATTTGAAAAGAATTTTTCCCTGATATTTCATGCAGGAAATTCCAAATAAATACATAAATAAAAATAAAAAATCCCATTTCTATAAAATGTTCTAGTTAAAAAAAAAACTTACTTTTCATCAGAAAAGCTTTCTGCACATAAAATTGCAATGAGCCCTCATAACTACTTGTTCTTGTTCTGTTCCTGGCAATTACTTTTCTTAAGTTTATTAAAAATGACTGAAGAATACTGAAAATGTCTTGATACAATATCATAAGAAAATGTGTTTGAATATTATAGATTCAAACTGGGCCATTTTTATAAATTAATATAATTTCTCACATAATGAAGGTTTAAAAATGTCTCTGAGTTAATTGTTGTTTCAAGCCTAAAGATGATATGATGCTTATGCATCCTTAAACAGATTTAGAGTCGGGGCACACCTAGCAGACTATGTCTCTGGGGTGTAATAGGAGAAGAGATACCAATTATGTGATTTTTACTATGAGTAAGACAGGGGTGGCAGCTGGGGAGGGGAGCAGGCAGCATAGGAGAGAAAGAACAGGGAGCAGCAACCAGAACAGCAGATAGGGTAGGGAGCCCAGGACAGCAGGCAGAAAGCAGAGCAGCAGATCAAGCAAGGCAAGAGGATCAGAGCGGCACCTGGGGAAGGAGCAAGCTCAGTTTTTGGCACACCTGCCAAAAAGGTTGGACCCCACTGGTCTTAGGTGCTCAAAACTATCAAAAATTAGGTGGTTGTGTGTATGTGCAGTGGCAGAAATTTAGGAATTTGGAGACCAATGGCTACTTAGGAGCTGAGGGAATTCAGTAAGTTCAGGGTGAGGCAGAGGGTCTAAGGATCTAAATTATGGATTTATGGCCCCGAGGCGGCAGTTAAATGTCTAAATGACTCTACAAATCGAGCCCTCTGAACAAGTCACCCTCCTAACCCACTCTTTGATTAGTTAAATAGAATAAGTTCCTCTCTTACTATGGAATATGTTTCCCAATGCTTTAATGGTTCTTCTGACTCTTCTGGAAATCCTCCTCTGATCTTCCAATATCCTTCTTGAAGTATGGAGATCAGAACTGGATAGGGTTCCAGGAACAAGGCATTAGTGCCAAATACAACAGTAACATTGTGATGTGACTAACGTGTGTACGAGCAGGAGGAATCAGGGGCAGTCTGCAGAGCTGTGCTGACTATTCATTTGGACTACAGCTTCCAGAAACCTCCAGGGGCTGGGTGGCAACAGGAGAAAAGGAAAAGGAAGCTTGAGGCTGGGGTAAGGAGAAGACAGAGCAATGTGCATGAGGAACCTAGTCAGCTGTACAGAGAGAAAGGAGTACACAGTGGAGCTGGAGATCTCACCAGCTAGGTCAGCTAGGACTGTGGACTGAAGGAGCTAGACATAGATTTGGAGACAGTTGCAGGCTACTGTTTGAGTGCTCTAGGATCTCAAGGCTTGTTTGAGGACACTTCTAGAGGTGTGGGGGGAAATTAAGGTACTGAGTATATGTTACCACAGTGTTGATGTTTCTTTACCTTTTACCTGTTCCCTCCCTTTGGCCTGTTGGCTTGTGACTCTAATCCCTATGATTTTCTATATAAAAGTGAGAACTCCCCCTTGCTTCTTGTGCCAGTTTCTGGGACTGCAGCATTGGCACAATATAGCATCTTTCCCTCTACCCTGAATTCCCGTTTATACATTGCTAAGAATCATATTATTTCTTTTAACTGAAGCATCACACAGGGAGTTCATGTTCTGCTGATTACCCACCAGGGTCTAGGAGTGCTTTCCTCAGTCATATTTCCCAGGATAGCAACCCCAGCCTCTCAGTATGGCCTATATCCTACGTACATGATCTTACACTTGGCTATATTGAAAAACATACTGTAGCTTTTCCTCAGTTTATCAAGCAACCAGATCAGTGTCTTATTTTATTAATTTACTACTCCCCCATCTTTGTCACCTGCAACCTGTATCAGTTATGGTTTTGTTTTCTTTTGCCATGTTGACAGAGCAAAAACCCAACTTCAGTGGAGACCCTTCTTGAAACCCGCATGAGACTTGATGTTTAATTTGCATGTAGTTACATTTTGATTTTTAAAGCTATTTAACGTATGCCAAATATATCTATTTAATGTATGATTTTGTTCTAGTTTCTTAATCAAAATTTTAAATGGCACCAAGTCAAATACTTCACAGAAATCTAAGCGCAGTACATCAGACTCTTCGCTATATCAACTAAATTTATCATCTCATCAAGATATAAAGTTGGTTTGATAAGATCTATTTACTAAGAATCCATGTTTATTGATAGTAAGCATATTTCTCTGTTTTAAATTCCCTTTTAAATCAATTACTCTGTCAGCTGTTTCATAATTTTGACCAGGAAGAAATCAGACTGATAGGTTTGTATTTTCCCAGATTATTCCATATGTACTCTTAAAATATTAACATAACGTTAGCTTTCTTCAGGGTTCTGGAAGTTCTTCATGTATTCCAGAATATATTGAATATCAATATCAGAACTCCAAAGAGATCCTCAGCAAGTTCTTTTAAAATTCCAGGCTTGATAATTTTAAAATCTCTAACTTTCTCTTAAGAAAGTTCTTAGCTATATTTAGAATAGAAATTATTTCATCATCACTGGTATGATAAAAGTATACTATCTGGATTTTTCCTAAATGCAGAACAGAAATATGTACTGACCACTTCTGCCTCTTTTTACTATAACTGACAATTATACCACTTCCATCGTTGCTAGATTTCATTTTATTCCTAAAATACCTTCATTGTGTATGTTGCAAACTGTACTGACCATAGATTTCTTCTTGTCAGATGATCCATTGTCAGTTTGAAGAATTTTAATAAAGAGAAAGAAAGAAAAAAGGATGACCTCAGATAGCTCTGTCAGACACCTCTCCCTCTGCACCTTTTTA